CTTTGGTTAGTTCCCATCTGCTGCTTCTTGTCCTGCCTTCCGGCGCTTTGGAGAATAGCTTGACTCCCTCTTCTTTGGGGCAGCCCCTGAGATATTGGAAGACTGCTATCATGTCCCCCCTTGTCCTTCTCTTCATTAAACTAGACATACCCAATTCCAGCAACCGTTCCTTATATGTTTCAGCCTCCAGTCCCCTAATCATCTTTGTTGCTCTTCTCTGTACTCTTTCTAGAGTCTCAACATCTTTTTTACATCGTGGTGACCAAAACTGGATGCAGTATTCCAAATGTGGCCTTACCAAGGCATTGTAAAGTGGTATTAACACTTCACGTGATGAAGAAGAGTTGTAAGAATTATGTCCGGTTTAATGAAAAGAAGGACTAGGGCTGACATGATAGCAGTGATTCAATAATTGAGGGGCTGCCACAAAGAAGAGGGGGTCAACCTATCTTCCAAAGCACCAGAAGGCAAGACAAAAAGCAACGGATGAAAATTAATCCAGGAGAGAAGCAACCTAGACTTAAGGGAGAAATTTCCTGACAGTTAGGACAATTAACCAGGGGAACGGCTTGCTTCCAGAAGTTGTGGGTGCTCCATCACTGGAGGTTTTTAAGAAGAGACTGAACAACCATTTGTAGGGAATGGTAGAGGGACTCCTTCTTGAGCAGGGGGTTGGACTAGAAGACCTCCAAGGTCCCTTCCAACTCTGTTTTTCTGTTAACATTTAGGTTCAATCTGTTGTTCTGACTATCCTCAAAATTTGCTTGGAATTCAGCTCCATTGTGATTCAGTGTTGCTTTCTTACAGGAAAACATGCTGGGGGGGTTAGAGTGTACATTTCTCAGATTAGGGTTTTGGAAACGATAAGCCGAAACGATATGCGGTCTAAGTATTTAAACCTTCACTGCACACGGACTCGCAGCAAAACAGACAAAACTTCCTTTGTGCATCCCACAGGCTGGAACCGAGGCAGCATGATCCACGCGGCAGGAATAAAGACCGATCCTGACCAGCAGAAACAGGAGGATGGTGTGACCGTAGCCCCAGAGGACATCATGCCTTTTTTACAATGCTACTGTTCAGGTCACTGTCCAGAAAACGCCATTAACAACACATGCAAGTAAGTATTGCAGATACAAGGAAGACCTGGTGAGATGGGAGGCTTCAAAAATCGCTTACCTTCCCTAAGTTTTTCATTCTTTATATGTTGATGATTAAATTAATTGCTTTCCTCTTTTGGAATATTTTGGAAATTTCAAGATAATAACACTTTTAATGCATTAGGACCTTTTGAACAGCATAATTCATAAAAGTCAAAAGACGTGATTCGGCCGTTTTAGACTTGCTGTTTTTTATCGCCCTCTAGTGATCACATTTATATCCACTCTGCTGGTATTGAATGTATATTGCTGAACCGTCTGGCACTGAAGGCACATCCCAAATGGGAAACAGCATCGTAATTCTGGAGGCCTATATATATATATACACACAGTATATACAGTGTATGTATATATATATATATATATAGCCCTCCCAGAGATAGGAAAACGGCTTGTATGTTTTGTATTCTGTAACTACAGTAGTGGCCAAAATTGTGGAAGCCTGTTAGGAAAACTGTACAGTAGAAATGCCACCTTTGGTTAAGTTGCCACCCATTTTTCTTCTGATTTCTTTATAACTGCAGCCTTGTTCACTTAATAATACTATTTTACATTGCTTTCTGGGCAATCAGTCAACTCTTTGCACCATGACTTTAATTTTATTACGTTTTACAAGCTCACTAAATGAAAGAACACAAAAAAACCCAACCAACTTGATAGTCATCACATAACACACTGACCAATGTCCTCCTCTCAGCTTCAATACAGGACATCAATCACTGAATCCTACCATGATCTGATTGGCTCATTGCTGTGTTTAGATTGGCTCTCTAAACACTCACGCTCATTGGCTACAATTGGATGAAGGAAAGCTACCTGAGATCAACCTAAGCAAGTTGTGCTTCCTTTTTCTGGTTATTTGGCCATAATGTTTCATAGAATACAGTACAGATAATTGAACAAACTATGTTGCAAACAAACATTCTTGATTAAATTATCTTTCCACTGATATATAATTTTATGGTACTACTTCCCCCCCCCCCAAAAAAAGTGGTGTTATTAGCCATCAAACCTCAAAAATACACTTTTCCCAAAAGGTTTCCACAATTTTGGTGCACTACTGTATGGACTGTTCTTTAAAAAAAAGAGAAAAATCTATTATGCCACCTAACGGACTGCCAGTCTAGTTATTTTTGTGCCCATAGGACCAGTGTGTGTGTGTGTGTGTGTGTGTGTGTGTGTGTGTGTGTGTGTGTGTAAATAAAATGGAGCGATAAATTTATTTCTAGGTGTCGCTTTGTCCAGCGTTTTCTATTTGCAGCTGGTTTCAATTCCCGTCAGCGTAGCGCACACCCGTAATGTCAGAAGGAGAAAAATAACTTTGTTTATTGAACAGACTGACTGAATGCAGTTTTTGGAGGACTGAAGCTAATTCGTCTGTTGTTGTTTTTTTAGAACTAATGGGCATTGTTTTGCCATCATTGAGGAGGACGAAAATGGAGAAAAAACTCTTTCTTCCGGCTGCATGAAGTACGAAGGCTCAGATTTCCAGTGCAAGGTACCCCACGGCTGACTCTCTAAGCGGTTTTCAGAAATAAGGAAGGAGAAGACATCATGATTAGCTTTCCCCAAATCTGCTTATTGCTTTTTGGTAAAACCTAACCTGCTTGCTGTAGGCCAAGGGCAGCGCATTGATTGTTTCCAAAAAGCTTTAAAAGGTTGTCGCTTTATCAAAAATAAAGTTGGAAGTTAAGTTGCGCTGCTTCAGGGTACAATTTCTTCTGTAGGATTCCCGAGTTGTTCTACGACGACGTACCATTGAATGTTGCCGGACCGACTTCTGCAATCAAGATTTACACCCCACTCTATCCCCTGCTCCAAAAGGTACAGTGCTTGCTGATACGCAGTGGGTGGGATCCACGGGGCGGTGGGCGTCTGCACGGAGATTTTACCCATCTATTTTTCAACCTTGGTCTATCGCTCCAGTAGCTGAATCCAAGCAACAAAAGACTTAGCAGTGTGGACATCAATTAGTCCTGAGAATGCAGTAATGGCCAAAATTGTGGAAACCTTTTGGGGGAAAATGTATTTTTGAGGTTTGATGGCTAATAGCACCACTTTTTTTTTTGGAGTAGTGCCATAAAATTATATATCAATGGAAAGATAATTTAATCAAGAATGTAATGCAACATAGTTTGTTCAATTACCTGTACTGTATTCTGTGAAAAGTTATAGCCAAAGAACCAGAAAAAGGAAGCACAACTTGCTTAGGTTGATCTCAGGTAGCTTTCCTTCATCTGATGGTAGCCAATGAGCATGAGAGTTTAGAGAACCAATCGGGTGTCATCTTGTTTTGTCAATGAGCCAATCAGATCACAGTAGGATTCCGTGATTGATGTCATGTATTGAAGCTTAGAGGAGGACATTTGTCAGTGTGTTATGTGATGGCTATCAAGTTGGTTGGGTGGTTTTTTTTTCTTTCATTGATTGAGCTTGTAAAACGTAATAAAATTAAAGTCATGGTGCAAAGAGTTGACTGGTCGCCCAAAAGCATTTAAAATAGTATTATTAAGTGAACAAGGCTACAGTTATAAAGAAATTAGAAAAATTATTGGTGGAAACGTAACCAAAGGTGGCATTTCTACTGTACACTTTTCCCAAAAGGTTTCCACAATTTTGGCCACTACTGTAGTAAAATATAATATAAAACTCGGGGGGAAATAATGTATTGATCGCATAGACATCAAATCAGGTGCTAGGCCGGGGGTCTGCAACCTTGACCACTTTAAGACTTGTGGATTTCAGCTCCCAGAATTCCTCAGCCAGCTATGTCTTCAAAGTCTTAAAAGTTGTCAAGATTGCAGACCCCTGTGCTAGGCAGATTGCCCTGTTTCAAACCATTTCAAATTGGAGAACTTTACCTTGTTAATTATGACCTCTGCGGAGTAAGGTGCCCGTTCAATAATAATAGACCCACAGATGCCGATACTCCGTATACAGTTTGTACATAACAACTATTACAGAATTGCATTTCTGAAGGTGAGATTTGTCTAAACCTTGTTTGGTCATTTCCCTGGGAGAGTTTTGCATTTAATCACGATTACGTTAACGCAGTGTTTCTTAACCTTGGCAACTTTTAAGACGTGTGGAATTCCACAGCCAGCTATGCTGAGGACTTCTGGGAGTTAAAGCCCACATGTCTTAAAGTGGCCACGGTTGAGAAACACTATAAATATTCACTTATTGTTTGTTTGTTTGTTTAGATAACCTGTTTGATGGCAGCATACGTTGGATAGCTGTGCTTATTTGTATGGCGGTCTGCATAATCGCCATGATTGCCCTCTTTGGCTGTTTCTGCTACAGGTAAACCATGTTGGATATTTACAGCTTTATTGTGTTGTATTAAAACAGGACTGGCAGTTTTAAAAGCAATTTAGAGTTGGAAGCCAATTTTATTGACATCACTTTGGATTGTTAAATGTGTAGAAAATTGTATAAAGTGGAATAATACTCAGGAACACACACACACACACTACAAAATCTGCAGTGGAATGGAAAAATCTTTCAGGATTCATGGTCTTATATAAGATAAGATAAGATTTATTGCCATTTTTTTACTGTGGGCACAATGACACACATCAAAAATGAAATTTAGTTGCCCGCTCTCAAAGTGAAACACATACATGACACACACCTAAAACATACTATATACAACATATGTATAGACCCACACCCCTATATATACATAACAAATAAATATTAAATGCTGTCCATCTTGAATATATAACGGAAGGAGGAAGCTTGAGAGTTCACAAGGTTAATGCTGTATGGAATGAAACTATGGCTGAATCTGGAGTATGTGCTGGATATAAAATATGTTTAATAGTTTGGGACCTGTATTTGCCTATCTGCACATTTAATGTTTAGGATTAATATATTCTTATATGGGATCCCGAAGATATTTTCAGAAAAACTAGTACGATTTAAATTCATCTAATTTAGCTTCAGTTATTTAGCTTGATTTAAGTTAAATAGCTTCATAGTAAGACAGAGAAAAGACAACGTTATATTACATTGTTGTCAAGAGATAAAAATTAGTAACTGAATGTTGAGCTCACTTATCACTTATACATAAACCCTGTATTCAAGGTGAGACAGGCACTTCAGGCAGTCATTTCTGTATCAACTAGTCGTATAAAACGAACTATTCGGACATTACTTATTAATGTCCAATTCAGGTTTATTATTATACAGTCAAAGACCAGAGACCAGAACAAATAAAAACAGTGCATATCCAGTTAAAATTCTAGAGTAAAATAACAAACAATAGATCAAAATCTAGATTAAAATCACGATCTGGCATCCAGTCTGTCAGCTATACATGGCCTAACTAAACTAATATCAATCCTTAAACTAGGGGGCCCATAGTCAAGTAACGCAAAAAGAGTTTGCTACATCAGTTGTGTAAAATTGCTATGGTGGATTAATCACATGTTTCTGACGAATCCCCGGTGCTGCTGCGCAGAATTTAGCCACCTGGGCTGTAATCACAGTCTGTTCGTCCTTAAGCAGCCACTGGAGACGAGCCATGTCGGAATGGCCAGGATACCCATCAATTATTGGGAGGATATGTGGTTTTTTGGGGGGAATATCTCTACAGAAAGTGCATCGAAGGAGTATGTGTCCAACGGTCTCCACCTCTCCTGAGCCACAGGAGCAGAGTCTTTCAGCCAATGGTATCTTTTTATACTTGCCATAGAGGACGGCCGACGGAAGCGCGCGACACCGTGCGAGCGAGAATGCTCGCTGCTTAATGTAAAAATGGAGGAACTCTGCGGCACATAATTTTGGAATTACTTTTTTGACCAATTAGAATTTACGTCACGAACGAAATCAAGATGCCTGAGTTTTGAATCTTGGTTTTTCCTCCAGGCATTATTGCAAAGGGGTAGCAAAGAGACGACGTTACAATCGTGATTTGGAGCAGGATGAGGCCTTCATCCCAGTTGGGGAATCATTAAAGGATCTCATTGACCAGTCGATCAGCTCTGGCAGTGGTTCAGGATTGCCTCTGTTGGTAAGTCCGTGATTTAAGAGTTCTGTGATTTGCAGCAGAGCTGACAAGGTTTCTGTCAGCATGAGGCCCACACATGAAGGCTCAGTTTAATAATAATAATATAATAATAATAATGATGATGATAAAGTTGGAAGGGACCTTGGAGGTCTTCTAGTCCAACCCCCTGCTCAGGCAGGAAACCCTATACCATTTCAGACAAATGGCTGTCCAGTCTCTTCTTAAAAATTTCCAGTGTTGGAGCATTCACAGCTTCTGGAGGCAGGTCGTTCCACTGGTTAATTGTTCTAATTGTCAGGAAGTTTCTCTTTAGTTCCAGGTTGCTTCTCTCCTTGGTCAGTTTCCATCCGTTGCTTCTTGTCCTGCCTTCAGGCGCTTTGGAGAATAGCTTGACTCCCTCTTCTTTGGGGCAGCCCCTGAAATACTGGAAGACTGCTATCATGTCCCCCCTCGTCCTTCTCTTCATTAAACTAGACATACCCAATTCCAGCAACCGTTTCTTATACGTTTTAGCCTCCAGTCCCCTGATCATCTTGCTGCTCTTCTCTGCACTCTTTCTAGAGTCTCAACTTCTTTTTTACATCGTGGTGACCAAAACTGAATGCAGTATTTCAAGTGTGGCCTTACCAAGGCATTGTAAAGTGGTATTAACACTTCACGTGAAGTATTAGTTTAACTGATTTTTTTAATTTAGCTGATTTTTTTTTTTTGTTAATAGCCCATGTATAGGAATCTCCTCAGTTAACAATCAGCACCTGGTTAGAACTAGGTAAGATTCAACAGCTCTCAAAGGTGTCTACGTATGGATTCTAGGCTGATGCCTCTTTTCACTTCAACCCTGGGCTCTGCCATTCCTTGTCCTACAGTCTAAGGCGTTCTTGAAGAAAAGCAAGCAAAATTAATTCAGTACAAGAATTTTGGTTGCTGCCGGATTATTCAATCCTATACTTTTCAGCTTCTTGTTAGTTGCGAAGTCGTGTCTGACCCATCGCGACCCCACGGACAACGTTCCTCCAGGCCTTCCTGTCCTCTACCATCTTCTGGAGTCCATTTAAGCTCAAGCCTACTGCTTCAGTGACTCCATCCAGCCACCTCATTCTCTGTCATCCCATTCTTCTATTGCCCTCCATCTTTCCCAGCATCAGGCTCTTCTCCAGTGAGTCCTTCCTTCTCATTAGTGGCCAAAGTACTTGAGTTTCAACTTCAGGATCTGGCCTTCTAAAGAGCAGTCGGGGTTGATCTCCTCCAGGACTGACCGGTTTGATCGCCTTGCAGTCCAGGGGACTCGCAGGAGTCTTCTCCAGCACCATAGTTCAAAGGCACTCATAGTTCAAAGGCACCATAGTTCTTTGGCACTCAGCCTTCCTTATGGTCACTTTTCAGCTACTATATGCTTTAATTTAAAAGACAGCTGTTTTTGAACGAACCATTTAAACACCTAATCTATGAAATCCACAAATAGGTCGTTATCTTTTTTTAGTTCACATTCTTCTTCTTTTTTAAATAAAGACGTTCAAACATTTCACCTGTTGTTGTTTTTTTTCTTTTCTTTTTTTTTGTCAGGTGCAACGGACGATCGCCAAACAGATTCAGATGATCCAGCAGGTTGGGAAAGGGAGATACGGTGAAGTATGGATGGGTAAATGGAGAGGGGAAAAAGTGGCCGTAAAAGTGTTTTCCACCCCCGAAGAAGCCAGTTGGTTTCGGGAAACGGAGATTTACCAGACGGTCCTTATGCGCCATGAAAATATACTCGGTAAGTATATAAGAAGCTCACGCTGCGATTGCGTTGTCGTTGGAAGGACTTCATGCATAATGCAACACTTCTAGCAGAATACGAACAGAGGACAAAAGTTTTCTCCACGGTGCTAAGATGTTTTTCTTTTCTTTCTTTTTACTGAATTTCATTTGCACTGTTAGTTGTTAAGGCTTGAAACATTTTTCCCAGTAAAGTGAAACATGGATCGCCTTGCCTATATTCCTAAAATTCAGAGTGAGCCCATTTATTCCATTGGATTTGCAGGTAGTATAGCATGTGTCATTTCTGTACAATCTTGTTTTTTTTTTAAAAAAGTGAATGCATACCATTCACTTTTTTTTTTAGCTTTTCAACGTATTTCAGCCTACAGATTTTTGATCTTCCATTTCAGTTGTATTGATAAAGGGGATATAATTTAACAAAAGATCATGCAGCATTTACAATTTGCGTTCCCTTCTGTAATTTACATAAACGTCGCTGCAGATTTCGCCTGTGGGGAAAAAAGGAAGCGCGCGCCTACATTTTATCACTAGCTCGGGTGCTTAAAATTAAAATCGTGTCCACCAGATCAGCTGCAGACATGAATGAATTCCTCGTTGTATCACAGGAAGCTGAAGGATAATGGGAGACCATCTGGGAGAGGATTGAAGTTAAATTGAAAGTGGGCCTTGCAACATGACAAGGAAAGTAAACATTTTAATAAAAAGGAAGGAAGGAAGGAAGGAAGGAAGGAAGGAAGGAAGGAAGGAAGGAAGGAAGGAATCCAGTGGCCAAGTCAAAGTCCAGATTTAAATCCCCAAAAGATGCTGCGAGGTGATTTAAAACTGGCTGTGCATTCAAGAAATCTCTCAAATGTTGCCTAGCTGAAAAAAATCCTCTTAGTCAATTTCAGAGATGTTGTTTCTGCCATGAGACCAGGAATTGGAGCCAAAAGTGTACTTACTTTTTTCCACAGAAGGATCTGTGGAAAATCTGTTAATTTTTGGTGGAATCACCGGTTGCAGTGTCAATTTTTCACACTACTTGTGGCCAGTCACATGACCCTTAACAGAGGGTTTCAATGAAGATAACATTTTGATATGTCCAAAAGAGGTGGGGGGGGAACCCTTCATATTTTGCTTTTTTCACCTGTTCACATTAGCAAATCTTGAACCACCGCCATGAAAAATACAAGCCAGAAACTGAAAAATGGGGAAAATGAGCTGTCTTAAAATGAATCATTGCTACCGGCAACATTGGGCTTTTATCATCCTAAAAGCTGAATAACTGGATTTGGGTGACAGCTACCTGAGCGAGGAAGCCTGCCTCGTGTCTCTGAAATGCTTTTGAATGTATTCATTATTAATCTCTAAATTTGTTTTTCTCGCTGAATGATTCATGGAAAGCACTTAACCCCCTCATTCTGTTCCAAATCCTGCAGGGTTCATAGCAGCAGATATTAAAGGCACAGGCTCCTGGACTCACCTCTACTTGATCACCGATTACCACGAAAAGGGATCCTTGTACGATTTCCTGCAGTACACCACTCTGGACAACAGAGCTTTGTTGAAGCTGGCCTATTCCGCTGCCTGCGGTCTCTGCCATCTGCACACCGAAATCTATGGGACCCAAGGCAAGCCGGCTATTGCCCATAGAGACCTGAAGAGCAAAAATATTTTGATCAAGAGGAACGGGGCCTGTTGCATCGCAGACTTGGGCCTGGCCGTCAAGTTTAACAGGTAGATGATCCAAGTCCCGCTTTCATAGAGAACGGTGCTTCTCAACCTCGGGAACTTTAAGCCGCGTGGACTTCCACTCCCAGAATCCCCCAGTCAGCAAGGGGGCTGGGCATTTCTGGGAGTGGAAGTCCTTCTTCTTCTTCTTGTGCCATATCCGTTATCGGACATTGGCGATCATGTTGGCGATCCTGTTTTTATCAGCAGCCACACGAAAAAGTGTTGCTGGGTTTTGTCCAAACCAGTCCCTTAGATTTGGAAGCCACGATGTTCTTCTTCTGCCTGGACCTCGTTTGCCTTCCATCTTTCCCTGGAGGATTCAATGGAGTAGGCCGTATTTTTCTGGGTGTCGCATCACACGTCCGAAATATTCTAGCTTTCGTTTTTTAATTGTTTTGATGATTTCCCTTGGCTTTCCCAGGTGGCTTATCACCTCCTCATTTCTGATCTTGTCAACCCAGCTTCTACGCAACAGCCGCCTGTAAATCCACATTTCAAAGGCTTCCAGTCTCTTCAGGTGGCCTTCTGTCAGGGACCAACTCTCTACTCCATAGAGCAGGATAGAAAAAATATAGCATCTGACAAGCCTGATTTTCAATCTTAGGCTTATGTTGAGGTTGAGATGCATTGATAAAGAAAATTCAGTATTTGTATACAAGGAAGTCTGGAGACGCATCAACATAGAGATAGTATCAAGGTCACGTGAAGTGTTAGTACCACTTTATACTGCACTGGTAAGACCACACTTGGAGTACTGCATCCAGTCCTGGTCACCACAGTACAAAAATACGTTGAGAGTCTAGAAAGAGTGCAGAGGAGAGCAACAAAGATGATTAGGGGGGGTGTAGGATAAAACATAGGGGTATGTCTAATCTAAAGAAGAGAAGGACTAGGGGTGACCTGACAGCAGTCTTCCAATATTTGAGGGGCTGCCATAGAGAAAATGGGGTCAACCTATTCTCAGAAGCACCTGAAGGCTGGACAAGAAGCAAAGGATGGAAGCTTGTCAAAGAGAGAAGCAACCTAGAACTAAGGAGAAACTTCCTGACAGGGAGAACAGTTAATCAGTAGAACAGCTTGCCTTCAGAAGTTGTGGGTGCTCCATCCATGGCAATTGGACAACCATTTGTCCAGAATGGTATAGGGCAGGGGTAGGCAACCTTGGCTCTTTTATGACTTATGGACTTCAACTCCCAGAATTCCTGAGTCAGCTATGCTGACTCAGGAATTCTGGGAGTTGAAGTCCATGAGTCATAAAAGAGCCGAGGTTGCCTACCCCTGGTAGGGTCTCTCTACTGTTACTGTTAGATCATGTAGGTCAACACCTTGGCCAGTGCAGGACTCCATACAGTAGAGTCTTCTCATGTCCTATACCTCCAGCCAAGGAGAGTCCACCAACTTCTGAGTCATTTGGTAGAGCAGCTGACACGATTCATACCACGGGTGGTTTTCCCATGGACGACTTGTTTCAGAAGAACTGACTCTTAACGTTTGAAAGCAACGAAAGAGAATTCAGTATTTTCTTTGTAAAACCCAACACGAAAAGAATAGTTGAGAGGGAACGTTAACGTCCAAACATATCTAGACCGAAGTTCTAAAAACGCCGCCTACTTAAAAGTATCTCTGGCTTCAGATCAAAAGGCACATTTCAGTGTCGATTCTGCTCATCCTTGGCACCTTCAAATATCTCCATCACAACGAACAAATCCTTTCAGAGCTCAACTCTTCAGTAATATCGTTTGCATTCGTGCTCGAGAAGTTAAACCGTATTAGTATCACTTCGGTCTTAGAAGCGGGCGGTCGAAAATGTTCTTCGTTGGTAAATTGGTTGAATCTTCGTGCGTTTGCGCAAAGAAATTGCCATCGTAAATATTCTGTATTGTAATTGCCATAATTGCATTGTCCCTTTTCCTGTCTTACTTCTTTTTGCCTTCTTTTAGTGATACAAATGAGGTCGACGTTCCTATAAATACGAGGGTGGGCACAAAACGGTACATGGCCCCTGAGGTCCTGGATGAAACTTTGAATAAAAACCACTTCCAGCCTTACATCATGGCTGACATCTACAGCTTCGGCTTGATCATTTGGGAGATGGCTCGGCGATGCATCACAGGAGGTAAAAATTAATAATAATAATGATGATGATGAGGTTGGAAGGGACCTTGGAGGTCATCGAGTCCAACCCCCTGCTCAGACAGGAAGCCCTATACCAGTGATGGCAAACCTTTTAGAGACCG